AATTACTTTTCTTAACTATCACCAAGGTCATCACTAAACTATTTTTGATAATTAAAGACTTTTGGTTATTAAGTGGACTAGTTTTACAAGCCTAAAGTGTTGCACTAGTTCCTAATCAAGATTGCCTTACATTACCTAGTCTCTTAGCAGTTCGTACAGAAGCAGCTTTCATTGCTCTCATTCTTCCAACTGCAAAGAACAGTTGTCAGACTGGTTATCTGACAGAGTTTATAAAATGAGACCCTATTTCAAGAAATTTTTCTTAATACTCGTCAGTTCGTGGTTAATACTCAACTGGAGTAAACCATTTATAAAAAACTGGTCTTTTTCAACTATTTCTGTAATGACGCCAAAGGTTTGTTTAAAAGTTCTAGTTTTCTTCTGATGGCTCTTTTTCTAAATATTCCTTTTCTCTAAATATTTCTTTTAAGAAGACTTTGCGTAGTGGCGTTTAAAATAACCGCAAGAAGTTTGCTTGAAGTTGAAGCTTTGCTAAGTGAAATATCTTGCTACTTCCTCATTAGCAGAGACCAGTTTTCAAATTATATGCTCTCTTTGAAATTATTATAAAAGGCATCGTTTGCAAGAACAGCAAAATTAATCGTCTAGCGACCTTCGCACTAATAGGCTAATTTATACAAAATCTGAAATATTTCTTTAGAAGTTTTTCAAAGTTCTTCAGGCTGTACGCGTTTGGCATAATTTGCAAAATCAAGAACAGCTGCTTGTAAAATTTTGTTCTGCACTGCTGCAACACTGTACTTTGATTTCAAAAAATCGTTAGGATCTGCCAAGAGAAGCTGTGCTTGGAGGGTTCTAACTTTGTTTACGCTTTATCAATGCTGGATTTCTTGGCTGGTAAAGCATCTTTCACATCTGTATTTGATAGAAACTCATTAAATTCTGCAGTTTAGCGATGTCTCACTCATTAGCGCACAAACTTGCTTCAACGGGTTCGTTTGATTTAACAATCGGCTTCTGAGACTTAAAGGCTAGTCAAGGTAGGGGGAACTTTTAAGGACTTGAGGAAGGAAACTACTCAAGAAAGGGAAAAAGGAAAACCTGAATTATTTCAGATTTACTTTCTGGGCGCGTATCTGGTGACAGACCGTCAAATAAAAATACCGTTGCTAACAGACTGCTATTACCTTCCAAAACTATTCCTTCAAATCGAAGGTCAGAAAGCAATTCCTTTGAAGCTTTCTCAGTTGCAAAAATGTGAAGACGTTTATGACAAACTGTAAGTCATAAATTCGATAAAGCTAACTCAAAAGAACCGATTACTGAACACTAATTCTCTGAGCAATTACAGTAGTTTCAAGATCTTTTATACGTTTATGCATTACTTAGGATTAGGGAAGACTCCTGCTACTATACATGACAGAAGACTTACAGAAATAAGCGTTTCGAAGTTATTTGATTTTTTGGTTTCCAGCCTGAGAACTGAAGCCATTTTTATGCTGTTTTGTTCGAATCTGGTACAAGTCTGGTTTTCTTTTCTTGTTTGAGCATTTACTGTAATACTGCGTAACAATAATGGCTCGTTACAGGGAAGATAGTTCTGCCGTAATATAGAAATATCTCAGAATCAGACCAGATTGAAACCACCTAGCATTATAATTTAAAATTTATCAGGTGCACATATGAGGGAAAATATGGAACTGCCGATTACATAACACCTATTCCAACGTCTATGATTTTGAACGGAACGTTGAAGCTATACGTCTTCCTCAAAACTGATCCAGGGAGGAGAGAAGTGTTGAATGTCATTGACCTGAGGGTAGTGCAGCGAGAGAAGAAACCGCACAGATTGGCTGTTTGTACAGGTCCAGTCT